TGTAAAAATTTAAGCTTTTCACAGCATGCATTTTACGTACTTGGAAGACAATTGCGCCAGAGTAAGACTTTGCATATCTCCCATGGTTTCCACTCCCATTTCTTTTAGAGTTGCCTCTGTCTGCCTTCCAACTCCCGGGATCTGAAAGCTTTTCCTTTAAACATAAAAAGCACTCCATAAGAATGTTTAAGATCACCTTACAAACTGGTAAAGGAACAATGAAATCGTTTACAGCTGACTGAGTAATACAGGTCTGCTTATTTGGCTTGTTTAGCGAGCAAGCCATTTTCGCCAGCATTTTCTGCACAAATGTAAAAGAATGACAAAGATGATACTCATGACGCAGGCACTTACATTGTGAGAAATGCCGCAGGAGCACTGATAGCCAGTTTCTTTTTCAACCGCGCAGCGAATTTCAGCAGCTAACTGAGTTCCCACCATCAACAACAGGTCTCCCTGGGTAGCTTGCGTAGTTAAATCACCGCCGAGTACATGGCCGACAAACGAAGTTGGATTGGCACTTGCAACGCGTTTGAGAACTTCTTCAGTGACATCCACCGCACACTCGTCCAGACCTCTCCTGAAATATTCGTTTAGAAGCAAATACATAAGCAAAGTTAAAGCACATACTTCTCAACCGTCCCGAATCTCTTGATGACTTCCATGATCAGCTTGCTTGCATACCGATAAGGCGTGAGGTCCTCTCCATTGATCAGCACCAAGTCCGAGCAACTGCAAAATGATTCTATGTTTGTCTAACAGTAAAAAGACCAGCACTGAAAGCATACCATCTCTTGGCTTCGTCAACAGGAACCATTTTCGGGACTCCAAGCTGCCTAGCTACATAGTTGGAAGTAACAACAAGGAACTTCTGCAAGATATATCATTCCAACAAAAGAATTAGAACAGAAAAATGGGAAGACAACAAAAAAAGAAAGGACACCTGAGTGACACCGACTGGTCGATCTCGAAGCCAAGGACGTCGCAAGATCTCAGATTGAGCATAGAAGCAATCGACATCCTGTTAAGAAGAAAATCAAAACAGGGATAAACAGGAAGAGATACTAGATCGAAAGAAAAAGAACCGAGTTTACCAGATGGATCACGACCCGATCGGTCGCTTTGGAGCTCATCCTACAAAAACTACTACTGTAGCTGCTCAAACGGTCTCTTGCTCAAACTCTTCCCCTTCGCTTTCCTCCTCCACATTGTCGACTTCCTCCTCCTCCCCATCTTGATCGTACTCCTCCGGATCGTTCTCTGCCGTCGTCTTGCCCAGGATAATCCCCTCGTTCGCAGTCTTGATCTCGTTCCACTGGAAATCCCTCCAAATGAAACCCTGATGCTGCAGCTGTCAAGAAATGCGCTCACCTTCTCCTCGAGCTCGGCCTCCTCCTGAGCTAGCAGCGCCTCCTCGTTCGCAGCGATCGACCACTCCCAGGGATTCTCCACGCTGATCGGCTCGATGCTAGGGAACCAAGTAGACATTCTAGACAATAAATGGGAAATCTAGGGTTCTTCATTAAAGGAAATTAGATAGCTTGTGTTTGTAGATATGTGTCTCGGCTATGTTCTATCCCCAAATATGCCTTCGTCTCGGTCTGACAGACTACAAATAAGACTCTTCGATGCAAGCACACGTCCACCAGACTCTTGCTCGGATCATACTCGCATATATCTTTCCATATAAGTCTAGAACACTACTTGCTAGCCTTCAGAGATTGGTTTCACAGCGATTACAACTAGAAACTCAACAAGAAGATCGTAGATGAGATGTTTGAGAGAATTTTCCGCAAGAGACTGGGAGAGTGAAGCCGAGCTGATTGGCATCTCTCGGAGAAGCGTTAATGTTCGTCCCACCGAATTCTTCTTCATAAAGTGCTGACAGACTTCACGCGAGGTTTTGCAGCACTACCTACATCCACGCATCAGATTCTTTTGAGTCAACACAGCTTTGCTTTGTGAGGGTGAATTGTAGAAATTTGTATTGATTTCATTTTTCAGGAAATAAAAATGACTCTATGACTTAATTATTTAATATTCATAATAATTAGGGAAAATTACGATTGTACCAATATAAATGCCAAGATTTCAAGCAATAATTTGTAGACTTCAAAATGTCTACAATCTATTATTTGTGTAAGCTGACGGCTTGACTATGCTTGACACCCTTGTCGTTTTATTATGATCATAAACATCTCTTTAGCCACAACAAATAGGCAAAATGTTTTTTAAGATCGTCCCACTTTTATTATTTCTCATTTCAAAATCTTATTCAGACCCGATTGTTAGATGCTTCGCTCGCAGAACACCAAATACTGATCCCCTGTCCATGTGTAGAGCACAGGGTATGTGCTGGAGACAATTAGTAGGCAACAATTTTCAGACTGGAAGTTACGTGGGTCTAGACGGCACTGCGTATGTACGGATCGGAATGTTTCGACATAGAGGCTACTACGTAACCTTGGACGATTTTAATAATGCTATGGCCCAAATTTACAATACGTGCATTGCTCACGGTTACATGGGAGGCTATGCGCGTTTCTATAACCATACATGCTTGTCGAATTTAGAAGCCCAGCAATGCCTACTACTTTCAACCAGGTGAAAATCAATGGACCGATTTGTGATTTAGCTTGAGTGAGAGGAAAAATAATAATCTAAAGTTTCAATCTCTCTCCTATCCTTTCTCCTCATAAGTTTCCTTCTCTTCACACCATGTTTCTTGCTTGACCTTTGTTATACGTACTTTTGATTAGTTCTTCGTGACTGTGATGTTCTATATTTGCACAGGACAGCGCATGGAAGACGGTCACCGCGTTGAATTCTCTAGTCAACCTGGAGGCATCTCGTGCGATGCAACATAAATGGGGAATTTAGGGTTCTTCATTCCATGGGCAAGGCATACCAAGTGCTACTCCAGTGCCCATCGCCGCTACGCCGCTCTCAGGTAAGAAATGGCGACCGCTCTCTAGAAATGCCGATCGCGTCTCTTGCCCAGCTTTGCGTGGATTTCTCGCCGCTCTACGATCGAGAGCCACATCCAGATGCTAGCTTGGAAGCCAGCATTGACGACGTAAAATCAAAATTACAATGCATTCTGTAATCGTTTGTTTCATCTTTTGCTGTTTAGATATGGGATCAACGTCGCTCTGCGAATCCATCTCTCTTCAATGCCACCAAATTCAGAGTAATATCTCGAAGAAAACTCCCCTTTTTTCTCCTTTTGTAGTGATTTTGTTCTCTCTTTTTCTTTGTTGAACTGTGCAGTATGGCGGCTATGATCTATCCCCCGATTGTCAACAAATATGCCTTCGTCTCGGCCTGACAGACTACAAGTAAGCGTCTGAGATCGATCGTTTTCTTTTTTCGATAGATCTAAACTCTTCTTAACTAGAACTTTTGTTGGGACGAACTTGTCACCGAAGTGGGAGAAATTCTTGTCGCCAAGTACTGGTAAGACTCGAGATTGTTATCCATTTAATACGGGATTCCCTCCCAGATGATGTTCTTCGATGCAAGCACACGTCCAGCCCCCTGGGAAATGGTGCAATTGTGGAAACACTAGACTCTCAGATCATTCTACTGCAGCGCAGCTCAAACGTAGGCGAATATCCTGGGCATTTGGTCTTTCCTGGTGGCCATTCAGAGGTACACATTATATTTTTTATGTATTCCCAAAGTTTAGAACGCTGCTTGCTAGCCTTCAGAGATTGGTATCCTTGGCCACTCGGATCACAGCAAAAAACTGAACAACAAGATCGCAGATGAGATGTTTGAGGGTATTGTCCGTGAAGTTTGTGAAGAGACTGGGATTCCTGCGTCGTCCCTGGTAGGAACAAACGGGATTACGTTTTTTTGTTCTCGAGTTCATATCTTTCGGGCGTGTTTTTGTGTGAAGAGCGAGGCGGAGCTGATTGGCATCTCTCGCAGGAGCGTGAATGTTCGTCCCACCGCATTCTTCTTCATGAAGTGCCGATTGACTTCAAGCGTAATTTCAGAACATTACACCCGCGCAGCGGATTCTTTTGAGTCAACAAAGCTTTGCTTCGTGAACAGAGTGAGTAAAACTTCTCTCTCTCTCTCTCTCTCTCTCTCTCTCTCTCTCTCTCTCTCTCTCTCTCTCTCTCTTGATGCTTGTCATTTTCTTATTAATCGTTCTAAACTTTCAGGAAGAACTCATCGACAAATCAAATGAAATGCCTGGGTGTCATGAAGGTGGCGCAGTCATATTTACAAAGATTGATAATATGGTTTAACACAAATCATTTAATATTCATCCCATAATAATTTGAATATGCCAAGATTTCAAGCAATCATTCAGCTTCAATTATTTGGAATGTCAAAACTTTTTTCGTCGTATTATTATGCTCATAAAAATCGCTTTGGCAATGGCTGTACAGGCAAAATGTTTCTTAGACTTGTCTTACTCTTATTTCTTGTTTCTAGATCTTATTCAGAGATCCCGTTCGTTAGCTGCTTCGCTCGAAGAACACCAAATACTGATCCTCGTAGCATGTGTAGAGCACAGGGACTTTGCTGGAGACAATTAGTAAGTAGCAATTTCCAGCGTGGACATTACCAGGGTCTAGACGGTACCGCATACGTAGCAATCGAAATGTATCAAGCTAGAGGCTACCGTGTGACCTTGGACGATTTTAACAATGCTATCACCCAAATTTACAATATCTGCATTGCTTACGGCTTCATGGGAGGCTATGCGCGTTTCTACGAAGGAGTACAACCATACATGCGTGTAGAATTTAGAAGTCCATTGGGAACTATTACTTTAAACCAGGTGAAAATCAATGCACCTGTTTGTGATTTTACTTAGATAGTAAGAATAATAAGAACATCAGGAATATTTTCTTCTCAAGATTACCTGATGAAGCGATTATACAGGTAACTTTCTTTACCAGACACGTGGCGTTGGATTGAACCTCCAGCGCGGCCTGGTATATTCATGCCCGGAGAATATTCCTTGCCTGGGACATAGATATTCGTGTCCAAAGCTATGTGTAGCCGTGTCGCAGTGGAGCGCCGCCGCAGCCACAGGAGAATTCAACACACAGGTGCTGGAAACGAGTTCCCATTCCATTGGGTCTTCTCGCAGCTCGAATTTTAGGACATTTGTTTCCGCCACCGCTGGAAAAATTGAAGCTTTTTTGCTCGATCTGCTCGATCTCGTCATGGCGATGTCAATGAAGCGGCCAATGCTCGGCAATCGATCGGTAAGACCCAATTCCAGGGAAACAATGATTCTCATAGCGAATCTTTCCAGACCAAGCTCGTCCAACCGGTTTGCAAGCGGCGAGACAGAGCCGATACGAACTCTCACCACTACAGGGTCACTCTTGTCACTCCACCTCCCAAAAACTTGGGAATACACTGCCTTCCATCGGTAAGCAAGAAAGCACAAAGCTTCCACTTAAGAAAAAAAACGATTTTTTCCTCCCAGAACACCCAATGTGGTGAGACAGTCACAGTTAGTGGAGAGTCCTACATTGTCTCGGGCGTCGTCTACCAATACCAGCTCAAGAAAGGAAGGTATGCTCCAAGCGCGAAGAAGCTCGAAGTTCAGCCGACTGGACGATACATTCTCAACATGTATCTCGACAGTCTTCTCCCGGATTCCTGAAAAAAAAAACAGTGGACCACTGCCAAGAACAGTTTTGGTTTCCTTGAATCGGATCGTTTCAACGCTTTGAATCCCCTGGAAACAAAGATTAAAGAACTCCTATCCTATCTAGCGCTGAGAGAAAACAAAGATAAACTTACGCTTATTCATCGTCTTCGTCTTCGTCATCTTGATCGTCGTCCTCATCTTCGTCTTCCTCATCTTCGTCAATCCTCTCGTCCTCGTTCTCCTCGTCCTTGTCATCGCTTGGCTCGCTCTGCGCGTCCCTCTCTTCGCTCAGTGTGATCTCCACCTGTTTCATCGTCCTCTGGAGCTTGAGCAGGCCGTCGGCAAACTTCCATCCCTTGGACTTGTCCTTGACGCAAATCGACAGCTTTTCCAGCAACGCACATCTCCTGACCAGATTGTTGAGTACTTCCAGGCTCTTCTCGTCCACCCACGGCATATGAATAACAATTCTCTTTAGTGGAAGCTCCGGCAGCTCCTCCATTCTACAGCACCTCAAACACTGCATAATCACAAAGAAAACACTGTAAAAAACAAGCTTTTGTAAAAGAAAGACATGGAAGAACCTTGAAGAGATCTCCGCCAATCTCAAGCCCACTCCAGTTGGCCATGCAGCCGAAAAACTTTAACGGAGCAACCTTCTCGATCTTGTTCAATGCAGCAGGAATAGCGACCGACTTGATCGCAGTTTTCTCGAGGCCACCAATCGCAGCAGCCACGTCCGGCAGCGTCCATTCCCCCTCCTCGCTTGATTCTAGCACCAGCTTCTCTAAACTAGATCCCCTTGGAAGCCCAATCACGCAGGGAGACCGCACTACAATCTTCCCCACTCCACTGGCCTTGACGACGAGCTTCGTCACCCACTTGACGCAGATCACCTCCACCTTGGGATCCTTCTCCCCTCTCGCAGACAGCGTGAAGACGGTGAGCGCCTCCTGGAAGCTGAGAAAGATGGTGGTGAGCTCCGTGTGCCTAATGTAAGGCGACCCGAGCCCCGTGCAGTCGCAAATGTCGAGATAATTTAGAACCGGGCAGAGCTCCATGATGCCTTCGAGTGCCTCGTCTGTGATACACACGTCGTTGAGGGTGAAAGACGTGAGTCTCTTGAGCGGCGTGGCTTCGCCAGGCACGCGATCGATATGGTAGTATGAGAGAGATACCTCCTTGAGAAGCTGGCACTTGAAGATCTCGAGAAGCTTGTTGCCCATCTGCACGAATCCCTCCCCGTCCTCCTCGAGAGTGAGGCACTCGAGCGTGGAATTCACCGCTCGCAGCCACATGCACACCGCCCCGACCCCAAACTCGGGCCCTGTGATGTGGAGATCCTGGACTCCACACGTCGTGGCGCCGATCGTCCGCCCTATGAAGGATTCCAGCAGCGGCACGCGCTTGGCGTCCTTCTTTACCTTCTTCACCAGATCGGCGCAGGAGAAATCCAGGTAGTCGACGCCCCGGAAGAGCATCCGCCAGCGGCGACAGACGAGGCGGCAGGGCGCGATCTTGTGGAGCGGCCCGATCTCGCCGAAAATGCGGCAGACGAGCGCGTCGGGGAGAGCTTGGAAGTAGTCCTTTGCGGGCGCCATCACGGCCTCCCTGCTCGCGTTCCCTCTCATACCCTAGGAGGCATCAAAAAAGCCCTAGTCGAGAGAGGAGAGAGAAGAAATGGTGTTACTGACTGACTGACGGAACAAAGCTCATCACGCGAATTAGGATTCTGCTAGGTCTACTGCCAGAATATCCGTCGTTAAAAGCATATTCGTCGTCTTCATTCTTTCACTTTGTTGGAGGCCCACACAGCGACTTGCTCGTCACTCCTATACAGCACCAAATTCCTATCGTTTTGGAGCACTAGGACCGACGAGACCAGCTCGCCCGAGACGACCCCGCTATCGATAGTCCACAAACACACGCTCTCGTTCTCAAACACCACTCTTCCATCTACCCTCACTCGCAAGTAGCAATTTCGATTGGCGCCAATCGAGATTAGAGGCCTCCACACCACGATGTTCCCTTCCATGAGCTCTTTGCAATCAAAGCCCAGCACCAATAGCCCATTGCGAGAGACGAGATAGGATCCCGGCGTGAGCCTGGAGTAGCTCCTCGCCTTTGGGCCGCTCTGGATCATGTTCGAGTAGGGATAGCATGCCTGGCCGCCATGGACGATCACTGGAGCCCCCTCTCTTGCCACCTCTAACTCCTCGTTGGCCTCCTTGAGAGCGTACTCCATTCCAAATCTCCCATCGATTGCGGTGATGTAGCTGTAGCCCCATTCGATCAAAGCGTCGGAGACAACGTCGTGGAGATCATGGAAGGCGCGGACGAGCTCGAATCCCTGCATTGCGTCGGCGTCAGGGTTACCAGCCGTGGCATCGCAGCCGGCAGTGAAGAACCAGAGGCGGAGGAAGCACTCCTGGCCGTTTACTATCACGGTGTCCGAGAAGGACCGGGGCATATGGCGGCCAAGGTTGATTGTGTTGACGAGCGTAGCCAGGCCACTCACAACAACGATGCGAAAGCTGGGAACGATTCTGCGAGGGATGCCCTTGTCGAAGATGTCCACGGCTTTGCTCCTCGTAGAAAGATAAATGGTGATGGCTGTCATCAGCACAAATCGATCCATTAGGGAATTCAATGGTCGAGCTTTCCTATGCAAATTCTTTCTTATATTGCATTCTGACGCGTCAATCTTCTAGAACAGACAAATCAAGGGCCAGAAGGTCATTCTAAGGACAAATTTCTAGTGGAAATTTTGCCACTAATAATATAGATTTGCTTTGTGCCCTTACAATACTGCATTGTTCACCTCACTAACTTCTAATCTTCATTTCTTCATTGGTAGCCGCTGTAAAGCTGTGACCAATGGAATAGAAAAATCAGCATTCGCAAGCAAAGTCTGTCCACATCCAGGAGGCCCAAAGAACAAAGACTCCTGTGGACGGCGACATCCCGAACTTCTCAAACTTCTCAACTGGAAATTGCACAGTGGCACAAATTCCAGCCCAACGGCGTCCAGCTACTAACAAACACTCAACTCTTGAAGCTCCCTCTTGACGTTCTCAAGGCCATCAATGTAACAATAGGCACTTCAGCCACCTAAAAGGAAAACATTATTTCAAGTCAAGTGCAGAAGGGTTGCTCGTTCCCAAAGCTGTCTGCTCGTTCGTTATAGCCATCGAGCTGAGAACTTCGGCATCCATAGTCTCGTCTCAAGGTCAATCACGTCCATCTTTTCGTATCGACTTGGTGCATAGGGCAGCAAGGCCCGGGCCAAACGAAGCCGTGCGTATTTTCTCCAAATCCACCTGCAGAAGCAAATGCGAGTTCAGTAGCTAATACATTTCATACATCTTCCGCGAGCTTCATGAGCCCTCAGCCTCGACTAGGGTTACTTCCAGACCGCTTTTTCGGAGAGATCGCTCCACAAGATCATCCGAACAAAATTACCGTAAACTTGAAGATCCATCCAGAGACCTAGATCGCGCATAATTACCGTAAATTTGAAGATTATCAGAAGCCTTAGATTTTCCATTCTTTCACTGTGTTGGATGCCCACACAGCGACTTGCTCGTCACTCCTATACAGCACCAAATTCCTATCGTTTTGGAGCACTAGGACCGACGAGACCAGCTCGCCCGAGACGACCCCGCTATCGATGGTCCACAAACACACGCTCTCGTTCTCAAACACCACTCTTCCATCTAGCCTCACTCGCAAGTAGCAATTTCGATTGGCGCCAATCGAGATTAGAGGCCTCCACACCACGATGTTCCCTTCCATGAGCTCCAGGTTGCAATCAAAGCCCAGCACCAGCATGTATAGCCCATTGCGAGAGACGAGATAGGATCCCGGCGTGAGCCTGGAGTAGCGCCTCGCCTTTGGGCCGCTCTGGATCATGTTCGAGTAGGGATAGCATGCCTGGCCGCCATGGACGATCACTGGAGCCCCCTCCCCTGCCACCTCCAACTCCTCGTTGGCCTCCTTGAGAGCGTACTCCATTCCAAATCGCCCATCGATTGCGGTGATGTAGCTGTAGCCCCACTGGATCACAGCGTCGCCCACAACATCGTGGAGATCACGGAAGGCGCTGATAAGCTGGAATCCCTGCATTGCGTCGGCGTTGGGGTTACCAGGCGTGGCATCGCAGCCGGCGGTGAAGAACCAGAGGCGGAGGAAGCACTCCTGGCCGTCTACTGTCACGGTGTCCGAGAAGGATCGGGGCATATGGAGGCCATGGCTGATTGTGTTGACGAGCGTGGCCAGGCCGCTAAGAACAACAGTGCGAAAGTTGGGACCGATTTTGCGAGGGATGCCCTTGTCGAAGATGTCCACGGCTTTGCCCCTCGTAGAAAGATAAATGGTGATGGTTGTCATCAGCAAAAGCCGATCCATTATAGATTCACGGCCTTGGGCTTTTCTACGCCATTATATTGCATTCTGATATGCGTAACTCTTCTATATGAGACAAGCCCAGGTCCAGAAAGTCATCCTATGACAAAGTTTTGTAGAACTTTTCCAATATGCAAGACAACTATAGATTGTTTTTGTAAATTACATTACACTTTAATTTCCACAAAATGAAACGTACTTTGGGTGATCTATAAATATTTAGACATGCAAACTAGTTTTCCCACCAGCTTCTAGTAAGATTCTTGCCCCAATAAGATTCCAGTAAAGATAAAGATAAGCTCACTTCAAGCATAGCTTTGTGGCAAACAGACCACCTTTCTTCTTTGTCTATCACTATGGCTGTGGAAAAGGTTAGAGCCTGGGAAGACGACAGGAGTGCAAACTTGTCAATAGATTTGTCTTTGCATCGTCCGCCAAACCTTTCAGATAAAAAACCATACCAATCCATTTAACGAGTCAATATGCTTGGAAGCGCCATGACGAGTTTAATTGCCACCATTTTCTTCGTCGCAGGGACTGTCCACCCCTAATCGACACCGGACTTCTTAACTGGGTGATCGCGGGCCTGGCCACCCTGATCAACAGCATCCCACTCACCACCTTTTCACCTCGATCATTCTCCTCCACCATTACCGTCGGTTCAATACTGAATGCGATCCTGACCCCGACGAAGACCAGGCTTCATGCTCATCCAAGCCTTTGAAGCTCTCACCGAGTACGTCAAGCACGCCTTGCACCAGTCCCGCTTCAGCTGCTACACCATCGTCGACGGGCGATTTGGAGTCGAGTACATGCTGAGCGCTGGGCCTGCTGTGGACTCTGCTGGCGATCGTTACGGGAAGGTCGGGTTCCTCAAGGTCCATGCGCTACTCCAAACTCATGCCGGTCATCTCTCGCTTCTCGCAATGGGCTCTACAAGCTGGAGCTGGGAGATGCCTGTGATCTGAAGCTCCGGGAGGGGAGTCTTCGTTGGTGACGCCAAAGGTTGCTACTTGTTGATGCAGTTGGACGGAAATGCGGTGTTGGAGAACGAGAGCTTCCGTGTGTGGGCGACCAATACAGCAGTGCCGGGAAAGCAGGTTTCATCGATTCTAGTTCTCCAAAATGATAGGAATCTGGTGATGTATAGGAGCGACCAACAGATCGCTGTGTGGGCCTCAACACTGTAAAATGATGAGAATAAAAGATTTTAGTCCATGTAAGTGATCGATGCAAGCACGAACCAAGTTGCTGTTCTTCGTCAAAGTTCCAGTCCGGTGGTATACGGCGAAGCACGTCGATCACGCTTTGGAAACAGCTCTAAATTCAGTGTTGGAGCACACCAAAGAAGCTTATCTTCCTCTGCTGCGCGCCTGTGACAAACTCTCGAGCCTGAGGAAGATCCACCAGCAGATGATCCAGAAGAAAGTCTTGGTTGACAAGCTGCTCAAGAACGTCCTGATTGACATGTATGGCAAGTGTGGCGGCTTGGACGAGTCCCGAGCAGTGTTCCAGTCGATACAAGACCGCGACGGACCCAACGTTTTCTCGTGGACAGTGTTGATCTCAGCTTATGCCCGGAACGGGCATAACAACGTAGCTCTAGATCTCTTCCACCGCATGGAGCTGGCTGGAGTTCGAGCGAGCGAAGCCACTCTAGTCATCGCTGTCGGAATTTGCAGCAAGCTTGGAGCTCCTCACGGCCTACGAATCGGGAAGAGACTCCACCAGCGAATCGAGGCCCAAGTCTCGATGAACTTGATGACTGCTCTCCTTGATATGTACTCGAAGTGTGGGTGTCAGGGAGAAGCCAGAGAAATCTTCCAGAGTTTCCAGACTACCGACAGTGTGTGGTGGACTGCGATGATGGATGCGTTGGTTCGATGCGGTGATCCCAGTGGGGCGCTAAACTTGCGACGTCGAATGGCCATCGAAGGCATTCCAGCAAACACTGTCACCTTTGTTGTCGCACTCACTGCCTGTTCTTGCTGTTCTTGCGGCTCCTTGTCCCGAAAGGTGGCGAGCCAGATCCACGACGAAATCTCTTCCCGGGGCCTGGACTCCAATCCCGTGCTGGCCTCTGCACTCGTCAGCGTCTATGGCAAGCATGACAACTTCCAAAAGTCTTGGAAAGTTTTCCAGGATATTGGGAGCTCGAGAAGGAGCTTGTCATGCTGGAACTCGATGGTGCTCACTTGCGCTCGGCATGGCTTCCACGAGAGAGTTCTCGATCTGTACTCCCAGATGTCGGTGGAGGGA